GCGGTATGGCCTCCCGCGTAACGCCGCGCGCCCGGTATGGCCTCCCCCGTAACGCCGCGCGCGCGGTATGGCCTCCCGCGTAACGCCGCGCGCCCGGTATGGCCTCCCGCGTAATGCCGCGCGCCCGGTATGGCCTCCCGCGTAACGCCACGCACCCGGTCTGACTGGCCCCTTCATCATGTCTCACAGCAAGAAGTTTACACTCCTAAGGTGAACTACACAATCAAGGATGCCATCCCCAGATTCAAGCACCTGCTGCGGGTTCGAGCCAGAGAGGAGTTTGGCATCGGGCAGTGGAGTGACTGGAGCCCCCAGCTGTATGCGTACACATGGACAGGTGAGACCCTCTACTATATGCAGTGTACATACACACTAATTACTTATTACATGCACGATAGCCTGCTGCCTGCTATGGTCTGCGCATCTTTCAGTGTGATCTGCCCTCCTTTTATAGGCTCTGAAATGTCAAAAAGTCTGTTTACGCTTCCTATCTCACTCACCCTGTTTAACACGAACAAAGAGCAAATGCCAAGTTGCAGGTGCGATGGACTCAAACCGTTAGTCCAGGAATGAGTGGTTGTGCCTAATGTCCCTGTGGGTATTAAGGATGTTCGTTTCATTATTAGCATTAAGTAAATGGACACCATCTTTAAATTCTTTCCGTTGCAAAATATTACATTTGAAAGTCATCTGTTTTGGCTATGTCAGGACATGTGGTACATAGCACAATTTTATTTCTGTTATTGTCACACTATCAAACAATTTAACTCGGACAGAAATATCAATAAAATTGGCTGGTGAACATATAAATAGATGTGTGAATACTGGTGCCCCTCCTGTAGCTCAACAAGTAGAACATTGCCTTAACAAAGTAAAGGTCATAGGTTCATATCCCAGGGAGCACACATAAATTGTAACCCTTTCCGCTACTGTAAGCTGCTTAAGATAAAAGTGTCTGGTAAATGTGCGGATAACTCGTTTGGGACCAGAGGTCAATGTGTTAAGAGAAAAGCAGACACTCTTATCATAATCATAACTCAGGCCTCTCTCACATCTCCAGAGCCGACACGTATGCCAGCCGCCACTGATACGGTAGGGATTCTCATTCTTTAAATTCGTATGTAAACACCTTTCCTGTGAAATGGGTCTCTCCGTCCTCCTCCTCATAGCATTTTATTACGGCCGTATCAGGTCCATGACTGCTGGTTTCCCGAGGGCTCCGGTACGGATGAAGATAACGCGGTGGAACACGGTGAGTGGCATTTGTCCGATGAGCAGTCAAAAGCATGCATGAGTAACTTGTGCGTGTTATTCACAAACCTTTATACAGTGTTGGGCATTTCAGGTCCAGAAGCTACAAATCCGGACCGAGGTTTTGTTTCTACCAACCAGCTGAGTACTCAGCTGGTTGGGAGAAACAAAATTTTGGTCCGGATTTGTAGCTTCTGGACCTGAAATGCCCAACACTGCCTTTATATACACACATATATACAGCACTGTGCAAATGTTTTACGCACTCAAAGAAAACGTTTGAAATGTTTCAATCCATGTAGTGAGCATACAATAAAAAACAACACAATTTAACATGAGAATATATGCAAATTAACAGTAACAATAAAAACGAACAAGGATTTCTTCTGTTCTCTGAAACGTCACTGACATCTTGTTGCATGTCTAGAAGGACACCAGACCTCCCCTCAAGGGCACCCCACCCTTGCATGTATATATTACATTTTACCACCGGCCAAATGAATTAATTAATTAAATTGGTGTTAAAAGTCCAAGTGATATTGATTAGCCATACGCAGTGCGCTAGTGCTCGAGACAACAAATGCATGAGTGTATTGGTCGGCTGCTGCAAATACTGAGGTGATATAGCAGGAGTTTGGAAACAGCTAAGCTGATACACTTTGACAAACATTATAGTTAAACACCAACATGAAGATCATTTAAGCATAATTCTCCTTGGCCGCCTAAGACTTCTGCACTGTACAGTATGATAAATAACCCTGTAAATGCCGTACACTCTGTCGTAGTCCCTGTGCTGCACACGTCCGACCGTCAGTCACTGCTGCATGTATCCTGGGTGATTGGAGTCTGCATGGTGCTGGGCGTCATCGTCATGTGCGCCGTTGCCCTCAGGTATGTCTTATACAATAGTGTTTCCCAATCTGGCCCTTGGGGAACCACGGACAGTCCACGTTTTTGCTCCCTTACTGGGAGCTCGGAGGGAGCGAAAATGTGGACTGGCTATGGGTCCCAGAGGACCGGATTATTATTATTATCATGCTAGTTTATTGTAATTCAATCCAGAGAATGTTAAATATCTTATATACTGTAACAGTGTTTCCCAATCCGGTCCTCAGGGACTCGCAGACAGTCCATGTTTTTGCAGGAGCTGGGAAAGAGCAAAAACGTGGACTGACTGTGGGTCCTCGGGACCTGGGTTAGGCAGCACTGTCTTATATAAAATAAAGTTATCATTTTGGTGTCGTGCACTGTTTCACTTCCTCAAACCTGCTCTCTCTGGGGTTTTTCTGTTTCTCCTTGCCCTCCTTTTTTCCGCAGGCACAAGGCAAAGTTCATGTTTAAACTTCATAAGCTGAGTCGTACTTCCCCGCCGCCGCCGTCGGCCTCGACTTCTTCAGCGCCGCCTACGGAGGAAGGAAACCCCCTTGTGCGTGAAAAGCCGCCTGGTCCCCCACAGAACTCGGACCCCCCATTTCCTCAGGAAGACGAGGCGAGCGACGAAGGAATTCACCTCTCCAACTTGGGTTACTTCTTAGTACAAAGGGACTAAGAGACTTGGCGCTTAACTTCTGTACCTCTCAGATTTATATGCACTGCATTATATAGCATAACGTGTACATCTGTATGAATGATGTAGTAATATATTACATCACACCCATGTGAAGTATCTTTAGGTGACTCTATTGTGAGAGACACTATGTAAAAATAAATTGAATTGAATGTATACTTTGCTAGTATAAACGCAAATCCGTTCATCTTTTTTGTAATAGAAAACTGTAATGTTTCGTTACACTGAGCCAATAGTAAGATACCATATAGCATTGCATTGTTTTTTAAACTGTATGATACTACATTTGTTAAGGGAAAAATTGACTGAGTTCTGAATTTCTTGTCTTGTCATTTCATTTACTGTTTTGTATGATAACCTGTTTGTATTTGACATACGTGTGTTTGATTATATGCAGCACTGTATAAAAGTCATATGAAGAAAATGTTTAAATGATCTTCATGGTCAAAGTGTTTCAGCTTTTCAAAACCTCGCCTTAAGTCACCCCAATATTTGCAGCAACCAAACATGCACCCATCTTATTATACTACTCCAGCACTAGCACACCGTAATTGGCTAATCAAGAGTTATTTAATTAAGTTAGTTAATCGAGATAATGGTGAAATTTAATGAATATGTGGATTGGGGAGGAGAGGAGAGGTTTGGGAACTGAATCGTTCTTCTAGCCATCCAACTAGATGGACTCTAACTTTTCGTTTTTATTGTTACTGTTAACTTTAATGTTAAACTGGTTTTTTTTTTTGTAAGCAAATATACACTCACGACCCAGTTAAACAACTTTAAACATTTGCTTTGACGGTGAAGACTTTCACAGCATTGTTTATAATATTAAGTTTAGAATAAATGTATATAAGTTGTACTGTTTTATAACTCGCTTGTCTGCTCAGGTGAAGAGCTGGCAGCCCCGCGCCATGTTCTGTTGCGGATGTTTTGTGAAGCTTGTGCCCTCAGCCGTGACGCTGAGTTTCACCCAGTGCCCTTGACACATTTCTGAAGTTGTCCAAAGAGCACAGGGCTGAGGTGATACATTTAAAAGTGAAACCTTAGCAATATGGCCCCTGAACGAAAGAGACACTGCACTTAATGCTCTCTGTAACAGCCTTTAAGTACAAACTGGGGCGTCAGCGGTGCATGGATGCCCTGGCAGATTGGGACGTAGCATTGAATAAAGCCTCCAAAATTTACTGATGCCCCCCCCCCCCCACGAGGCAAAATCTAAAAAGGGGACCCTCCCCCGCCTGCCACAGCAGGACCCCAGACATGGCTCCCATATGTCTTTAGATTAAAAGTGCCCAAGGTGACATTTTGTCATGGGGCCCGGAATTCCTAACTACGCTCCCCAGGTACAAAAGAGAGAGTCCTGGCTTCCACCAAATGCTAAAACCCACCACTTTGTGAAAGGTTCACATCAACCTGCCGAAAATATTTTTCATACATTTAGATATCATGCCAATGACATATAAAAGTTCAATAAATATTTCACATCATATAACTATATAATGTAAAGTAACATATAGCTATTATACTATTAAAAAACACAATTTAAAACTACTATGAATGAATGAAAGAATGAAAATTATACTCTCTTTAGGACGGCTATCATAATAGAAAAAATAGTGAATCGTTACCATCTCACCTAAACCATTCCCACAGCAATTTTAGGCAAACAAATAGTGAGTACACACAAGATAAATCAGGCCTATCACAATTTTAAGTAGTTGTTGAAATATGGCATATTGTACTGTATTTCCCTTGTTACCATGCTAGTTTTTTGTAATTCAATCCAGAGAATGTTACAGTAAGTACATCTGTAAAGCCTTAAATTACATTGGGCTGTCACTAACACCAGCGTTGGGCAATCTCAACCAGAAAGGGCCATTGTGTATGTGGGTTTTTGCTGCAACTCCCTAATTAGAGGACTGATTGGATAAAGCGTCCTCACACCTGGGTTTGAACAGCAGGGCTAAAGGGTTTCCCAGAAACCTGCATACACACTGGCGGATAAGAGCCCTGACCTTTGCGGATAAGATTTCCTACCCCTGATTTACACTATATGGACAAAAATATAAGGACACACCTCTTAATAATTGAATTCAGGTCTTTCATTCAGACCCATTGCCACAGGTGTACAAAATCAAGCATCTAACCATGTAGTCAGGTTTTCAAACATTTGTAAAAGAATGGGTCATTCTGAAGAGTTCAGTGAATTCAAGCGTGGTGCTGTCATAGAGCACACCTTATTGCAACCTTTGCAGTAAATAAGAAATTTCATCCTTGCCAGAAATCCCACGGTCAACTGTAAGTGGAAGCATTTAGTAACAAAAGAAACTGTCACCAAGTGGCAGACCATGTGAAGTAATGTCGCCAATGATCTGTTGTCTCAATACCTGCAGAGTTCCAAACTCCCTTTGACATTAACCCCCGCGTGGAAACTGTGTGCTGGGAGCTTCATGGGCAAGTAGATGCATAGAAGCTTCACATCATCAAGCACAATGTCAAGCGCCAGATGGAGTGGTGTAAAGCTCACTGCCACTGGACTCTGGAGCATGACTGGGCCCCAAGGTGAGTGGTGTGGAAGAACTTGACTGGCCCCCCACAGAGTCCTGACCTCAACCCCATCAAACACCTTTGGAATGAACTACAACGGAGATTGTGAGCCAGGCCTTCAGGTCCAACATCAGTGCCTGACCTCACACATGCTCTTCTGGACGAATGTGCAAAAATACCCACAGACACACTCCAAGATCTTATGGAAAACCTTCCCAGAAGAGTGGCAGCTGTTATAGCTGCAAAGTGGGGACCAGCTCCATATTGATGCCTATGGATTTAGAAAGGGATGCCATAAAAGTTCCTGTAGGTGTAATGGTCAGGTGTCCCAATTCTTTTGTCTATATAGTGTATTTCACGCATGAACTGTAACATTTCACAAATGAGCTGTAAACATCCGTTTGTGTGTTTATAGGAGTTTTGCCTAGTTGCCCTGGTGTCCTCCTGCATTCCACAAACAAGCATTTTCCGTAGTCCGTGATTTTGTGTGCAAGCGTGTGCCCTTTGCTGACCTGGGAAATCCCCTTTGCTGAAATGGGATGCCTCCCTTGCCTGTGTTTCTGGGCACAGACTCAAGATACACCATGGATAAGCATTTATGAAAGATGAACTACTGGATGAATTCATGTGAAACTAATACATTATTAACAAGGAGGTTGCATTCTGGTACAGCAAGTAAACATTAAAAATGTAACACTTTTAGTTATGGATTGCAAGCATTATTGTCATTTTACTTATTTTTACATAAATTACAAAAAATTTCCTTAATCTAAACGTAAATGATTATATATGTTGTGTGACATGCTGATATGTTTTTCACCAAACAGTTACAAATATTAATTGCCAAAAATAGCAGCAGAACACAATGATACAACAGATCATTCTGGGAAATAAAGACCGTTATAGCGAAAAAAGGAACTAGGTAGAAAAAGAAACCTTTGCTAAAATGCTGTGGTTTTCAATATTTGTTAAAATGTTTAGTTATGGGACATTTGTAAACACAGTATTACTACATTGTCACACTGGGTATTATATGTATTGACATACATTGTCTCATGTACAGAGCCTGTGAAAAGTTTCACTTCAAAGGGGAAAAATCAAGAACTATACAGCTTAAATCCTGTAGTGAATCCTGTACATATGGGTGATACATAGTATTACCATCCATCCATATGTATCACACCGCAGTGATGTGGGAAAGGACCATAAACCTCCCATAGATTCACTAAACACACATCTGTCCTTTCGCACAGTCAGTCCTGCCACCTGCTGTCTGAAGCTGCATTTCACACGGACACAGTGTGACTAGGTCAGAGTCTGATTAGTGCGAGTAAGATTCCTCAGTGAAGGGCCATTTGTCTGTCTGTTAAAACTCAGCAATGAACTATCAAAAACTGAGCTGCAATTAGATGCTCCAGCTGAACCAGATGAGGTGTAGCTTTTCAGAATAAATCATGGCCCAATTCTCAAGCCTGCTGAAGAAAAAGAGACGGTAACACTTTACTTGATGGGTCACAAACACTTAGCTGTAACTCACATACTACTGAAGTACAAATCGTGGAGAAACATAGTTGCTACTTGAAATAAAAGATGCGTTGCTATTCATTAATGATGAACAAGCATGAGATCAGTAATTCACTTATGCTATTCATTACTTACTTACAAATACAGTAAATGCTTGAGATAAAACATGCGTCATGATTCATTGTTGAACAAAAAGATCAGTATGTAACTAAGACTTAGTTTGTGGTTAATACATAAGTGATTGCATGATATTACATCATTTGTGTCCTGTCAAGTAAAGTGTTACTGAAAAAAGCACCATATTCTGATGTTTAGCATAGGTTAGATGAAGTTGTAATAATCATCTAATGGCAGAATGGAGTCCATTACCATTTACCCTCATGACATGCTACTTTTATATCTCTCATTTTTGTGTATACAGTCTCATTATGGTGGGAGTCAAAAATATTTGGTACTACTTAAAACAATTTTGAAATGTAATAGTTTGTAATGTTTAGTACTCAAATTCTATTGCCAAGGCATGTATTTTAATGAAAAAAGCATGTTTGTGGAATTTGCTACCTACTGCAGTGCATGATGGGTGCAATATTAGGAGGCTAATTCAATTTTATCATCTGGAACTGCCGCAACTGGTGTAGGCAGGTCTTAAGTGTGAATTTGGAAAGGGGGGGGGGGGTGGTATGGTCCATTTTTGCCCCAGGGCCCAGTGTACAGTACTTGCACCACTGGACGTGCATGCCTAACATGTTCCACTCACCACTGAGACACAAAGCACAAAGCCATGGATATGGTGGATATGGACACAGCCATGGATATTTGTGACAATGCCTCAAGAGTCATTGCCAATGCAAAAAGAATAAAGCAGAACACAACAAAGTTCTCTCTTTTCAAAATAATATATACTTCAAGGAAACCCTGATTTCCTTTAGCAGACTTACTTGGGGCCAAAGTGGGACTGTGGAAATGTCACACCGCAGACCAGCTTCTGGGGTGGGGGGAGGGGGTGTATGCCTGTCACAAGACACTACGGGGGGGAAGGTACCAGGAATTTTCCCAATTCCGATTAGCTAGTCTTGCATTGCATCTCACAACTGGCCGCTAAAGGTTTTAAATTACACCTTGGACCGACCCCAAGAGTCACAGCCAGGGGCGGATTAAGGTGTACAGAGGCCCCTAGGCTACAGTAGTCTGTGGGGCCCCCAACCCCACCCCCCTCCGCGCCAATGGGGACCCCCTTGCAGGCTGGCACACGTGGGGCCCCTAGGCTTAAGCCATATCTAGCCTGTGCGTTAATCCGCCCCTGGTCACAGCAGTGAACAAACTGACACAAAATGTATTTGTTTTAACAGTTTATTAATGCAAATGGCCCATCTTACATAAGCATCATTATTCCTTTATTATACTGACCCACACTTGGTATATTTGCTGATAAATAAAATACATATTTACAGAAACAAATGGATGTGCTTTAATCAAGTTGCTTTTTATAGTATTCCATCATATTTGTTATTTTAAGGTGTTAAACACGGAATATGGGAGGTATTTTCTGCAAAAAATAAAATGAAAATGAAATTGATAAAAAGAAAATACAATCTCCACTTTGCCATTGTTTTATATGTTCATGTAACTTAGAACTTAGAATAAAATACTACAGCACTCCTTTTAATAACATATCTATTCATTATTAGATTAGCTACGTACGTTGTAAGACATTACTATCTTTGTAAAAAAATATTTTTATGAAGATGTTTGGTTTCGCATTTACAAAAAATATTGACTTGTATTTGCAAAATATTTTT